CTTTTAAGCTCTGCCATATCCTTTCATCCACAAAAGTGTTCAAGACTTGTAAGACAATCAAGGAAGTCATCTGACTGTGATCTTCATGTAGGAAATTTGAAGAATAGTAAAAACAGCAAGAAATTAAGCCAAACACAAGCAAAATTTGGAGAAACCATAAGGTTTCCGCTTCATCCCAAGTTAGATTTCCAAAAGACTATGCTTTTCTTTCTTTTTCAATTCTAAAAATCATGTGGAATGACCAAGGGCCTTTATCTAATTATTCAAGAACATTAAATGTCCATACAAAGAATAAAATAACCCAAAAGTCCTAACTTAATTACAAAATCCATAATGACAATTTTACTCCTATGAATAATAACCTATGACCGGTACCCATGAGTAGTACCTGTGAATAGTACCCTAGAATCCTAAAAATCTTAAACGCCCCAATAATAAACCCTAAAACTAAAATAAAAATATACATCATTCGAAATGAAATAAATATTAAGAGTAAGAGTAATTTTACCCTTCATCATTCTCCCCTGGTTGGAGAAAACTCATCCTCGAGTTTTGAAGTGTGTCAAGATGAAATTTGCATTAGTCCAACAATCTTCTTTAATCCAAATATTGTAAATATGATCCTGGGATTTGTGGGTTATTGTAGTAATTAAAACACAAAGATTGTGCATTGAAACTGAGTCCATGCAATCAGTTGATATATCCATAAACACTTTTGAGAAACTCCAAAGGAAAGGGTTATTGTATGTTGATAAAGTTTGTTTAGCAATATGAACTGGTTGAAATTGCATCAGTTCAACCATATAGCCTTGTTGAAATTGCCTAGGCTAGGCGCTAGAGCGCAGCATGGGTGCATCTTTGAGATGAGTGCTGGATTCGGTGACTGAACCAACAACTTTACCCCTTGATTCTCCTTGGAGTAATCTTTTACTTTGTCAAAGATTGGTTTAACAATGGAATGTTGATCATCATTATAGATCAGATCTCCTATAAGATCTTGTTCTTCATCTAAATATTTATCGAAGATTGGTGGAAAATCAATATGCGGATTATCGATAGAACTTGCGTAAATACAAGAATGTCCTCATTCAAATAAAAAAATGCTAGATTGATGTCCCCCAACATCGAGATCTTCGAACACTTTCCTCGACACTCGACTCTTCATGTGGAGCATGGGGATGAAAAGGGTTATACTCGACATCTTTTTTGACATAAAGATTACTGTCTTGCCCATGAATGATGTTCAGAAACTGCTGCGTTAGTTGTTGAATTTGCCTAAGTTCCTCAATTTCTTCATCTTTGGGATCATGAAGTGGGTCTATGAAAGTTCCCCTTCCACAGATTCTTCTGGCTGCCATAGATTCTGCGTAATCACAAACCCTAAGCATAGGATCAATAAAAAACTTTACTGAAATTAGGAAGATTCAGGCTGTTTTGGCAAAACTTGGCCAAAATCAACAAACCCTAGATTTGGCTGTAGTTTCCTGACCTTATTGTTGAAGAAACCTTGAGCTATGATACCAAATTGATATAGGAAAATTTGGAAAACATTAAAAACAATAAGAAATCCAGCCAAACACAAGCAAAATTTGGAGAAACCTTAAGGTTTTCGCCTTACCCAAAACTTAGGGTTCCAAAAGGCTAAGATTTTCTTTCTTTTTTAATTTTGAAAATCACGTGGAATGACTACTCAAGGGCCCCATGAGCCTCTTAAGTAATGTTGATTTAACTGTTTAAGGCAGTGTTTGAAAAATTGCCAATCCGATCTGAAATCTGGCGATCCGGATAAAAAATCGGCTAGACCGTTCTGAATCCAACTATAAAACGGGATCCGGCCGTGTTTCTCACATGATGACGTCACAAATCGTTGATCCGACCTTTTTTCTCACATGATGACTTCACAAATCGTTTCATGACATCACATATCCCGTTTTTTCTCACTTGACATCACAAATTGTTGACCCGGCTGTTTTTCTCACATTATGATGTCACATATCGTTTCATGACATCACATATCCAACCTCATTGCTCCACGTCACAGAACGTTCTAGACTTTAAAACACAAACTCTCCACTCATGCGCGTACTTTTAAAGTACACGATTCTCCACCTCATGCTCATGCTATTTCAAGTGGCCCATTCAATGGTATTTATATGTGCTCGTTCAAGTTAAAATTTTCAATGTGGGATTGCGTTGCGAGCAGTGCGCATAACTTACAAGTGGTAAGGTTCGTAGGGACATAATAAAAAGTGCATATACCATTGTCCTGCAGGATCACAATATATTGAAAAAGCATACTTATGTTGTAGTTTTGGATCTAAAATATTTTATTTTGAACAATAAAAAAATATCTAAAATATTGTGTTCCACTATACAATCTATCAATATTATAAAAATAAAAAATAAAGAATAAAGGAAAAAAGATTTTGAGCTTCTAAATACTTAGTGAATTTTTTTATTTTTTCTTATAGTTGTTAATAAGATTTTTTCTTAAAATATTAGTACTAGCTCATAGGATATCAGTAAAACCAAAAAATAATATTAGTTTATTGAATATTAAAAAAAAACTAGTTTATGGAATATTTTAAGAGAAAAATAACAATAGCTCATACCACTTTAGAATTTATTTCAAGTCTCTTTATCAATTATCCCACATTGCAAATATGAATATTTTTATTTATTTTCCTAATTTTATTAAAATATGATTGCAAATTTATGTTACTAAATTCTATATTTCTATCAACACTAATTATTACACATTAGATTCATTTATTTGTGAGGGTCATAGCCTTGTTTTTTGAATCATTTATATTATAATATTGTGATTAGTAATTACACTAATTACAAAGATAATTAAATCTTATATTTTATTATTAATATATTTACATTATAAATTATGCAATGTATTATTTTTTGTTATAGTTGTAAATTAGATTTTTAAATTAGATGATATTATAAGACAAATTTCAAATTTATTCTTCTTTGTATGGTAAAATAATGATAAAATAATAAAATACAAACCAATAATTCTAATTTCATTGTGTAACATTGTATTTATAAATCTTTGATGAGAATCTTCATACAGGGAAAGAATATCTCAATATTCGCATATTGATGAAACAAAATAAAGTTTATTAATGTTGTACCCCCATTTTTTATTGGATTCCTAAAAAACAACATTTATAATGAATTTTTGTGATTTTTGTGGATTTTTTTTTAAGGTTTAATCCAACCGATTCGGTCAATTTCCGATCCAAATCGCCGATTCATCGATCCGGATGGGTTTTTGGGGTGCCCAATCCGGGGCACCGATCCGTTTTTTAAACCATTGGTTTAAGGACATTAAATATCCATACAAAAAATAAAATGACCCAAAAGTCCTAAATCACAAAATGCGTAATGACAATTTTACCGGTGTGAACAGTAACCCACGAACAGTCTGTGAATAGTACCAGTGAATAGTAAATAAAAGATGATAAAAAATCTCTAGGATCCAAAACAACTTAAAAACCATAAAAGTAGACCCAAAACTAAAATTAAAATTATACGTCATTTGAAATTAAACAAATATTAAAAATAAGAATGATTTCCCCCTCTATCAAATCTCCTTGTAAAATCAGGAACATCTACCCTAATACTTTATTCACAGCCTTTAAGCATTTCTTGTCGACGATCGATGTGATTGCAGGCTATCACAGTTTGAATCATCCTCCGAATTCGTATTTGGTTTGCGTCCTAAACCTTGGGGACACATGTTATCATCTTAGGTTTATCCCCTTGCTGCGCAACTCTATTGTAACATCTCTGATCTGGTGTACCTCGGCAGCTAGCATGTTGAATCTTTGAAGAATAACCTCCAAATCCTACCATCATGGGTCTAACTTTGGCGCCTCAACTACGACCCTCTAATAAATCCTCCTCCCTGCAACCCTTGTGCTGCCATCCTCGTGTTGCGAAAGAATCTGATTGCTTCAGTGCATGGATAAAAATTGATTGGCTCTGATACCAATTGATGCAACAATGAGCATTGATGGACAAGATATAACAGATATTAGGGTTGGGAATTCAATAGATTCTGTAAAAGTTAAGCACACAATGCTTCAATGGAGAAAGTGTCTCTAAAATGATAAAATCACAAGACTACTCTCTAACCTCTGTGTACAAAGTCTCAAATAGCCAATCTTGTTCTTCCGTTTTTTTCTTGGAAAGGTTACATAGGAATGGAACTTAAGAAGTAGTGCTATGAAAACCCAGCTGCTATCGCCTTGACCCAAGCCCGACTCCTAAACCCTATAGTATAATAAAAAACCAAATTACCCCTACTAATTAATAAATTCCAAAAGAAAATCTTAAAAACTCCACACCACCCCCCAAATAGCATTAAAAATTCCAGCTATGCCCCTATGAATAGTAACTCATGAACAATAACCTGTAAATAGTAAAAAATAAATAAAATAGAAATTAGGTACTAGAGATGACATCAGCAAGACTGCATTCATACCCTGTTCTCTCCGACTCCATTCATCCATTTCCTCTAGGCATGTGTAGCAGGTGTCGTTGTCTTTTATTTTTACATTATTTTTTGCTTAGAAATGTCAGAACTCTGATAGTTATCAGAATTTTCATCAGCAATTAATGAAATGACCTTTTACATGGGGTAATGTCTCAATATCCAAGACATCTGAATCACATTTACAGGTCTTAGCATCTATTTCCAGCACAAAAAGTGTCTCCTTTCTTGAACTTTTCTTGTTTATGCTGGACCTTGTTTTTAGTATTCTAGTATTTAATAGTCGTACATGGAATTTATCTGATTGATCTGGAAGATTATTAAATTCCTCCCATAAAGTAGACCAAGATTTTCTTCAGAAACACAGTGGTTTAATGACCTTCCCATATGCTGTTTATGATCCTATCCGGATACTCCAATGATTTGACATTTACCATTTTATGGTTTACTTTGTTGTTTAAGACTTTCCATGCATTGAATTGTTATGCAGGATTGTACGGTCTTCTCTTTCTGACCTTCATTTGGCTAAGAAAAGTTCTGAGGCTCATATATCGAATGAAAATTTGCATTCTATGAAGCTATTAGGTAATGATGGCCATTCCTTGGAATCATCTAATGGTCCCATATCCATTGTGAAGGAGAGCTTAGTTCAAGAAGAAAATTCTTCTCATCAATGTTCATCAACTACCCTAAGTTCTGAGAGTGAACAATCTACTTCCATGGACTTGGACACATGTTTTAAGAAGTGTTCAAACAGTGTGGATGAGAACAAGGATCCATCTTCCCTGAAAGTTTCAAAATCATTAAAACCTGGCAGGCAAGCATCAGAAGAAGAGATCAAGTTATGGAAAGAAAACGGATTTACAAGGTAATGTCTTTTATCTATCAATACCTTTAGGATGGATGACCATGTTCAGTATGTTCGAGGACATAAAATTATGGAGCTAAGCGTAAATTTAATCTATATGAGTTAAACTGATGTTTCTGAAAATCAAAATTTGTGCAGCCTGATAGTTGCTGCCCCAGAGCTGGATCCCTGGAATGCTATTCAAGAACTTCTTCCCCTTCTATCCTATTCTGCACCATTTGCCATCTATCATCACTATCTTCAGGTGTGTAACTTTTGATTTCTGAGAATGCTATTTATTTTGATTTAGTTCTATGTTTCTTTTGCTTAATGATGTTCCTGTCTGGTGTGGGGATGATAGTAATAGATTCGTTGGTTAGAGGGAAATGCAACCTTGATTAGGAATTAGGAACATTCAGTCTTGATAGTTACAATGCACATTGTGTCAGATGTGATTCGTGCATGGACAGACATGCTTTGCTACTACACAGGTGATTTGGTCTGTTGTTTTGGGAGCAAATGTATTGAAAGAGTCAAGCTCTTGTGGATAGTTTATTTTCCATGTTCTATTGATTTTATGTATAGTAGTGTCATTTCTTAGCTTTACCTATTAAATAGAAAGAAAATGGCCGTAGTTAAAATATATGCCTTCTCTTTAATGTACTTGCCTTTCTTATATACAGCTACAATATTTTGTTTTTTGCAACTAATCATTATGACTTTAATATCTTTCCTTTCTAAATGTTGCAGCCTCTTGCAATATGCATGCACAATTTACAGGTAAAGCAAATGGCAATTGGTTTGCAGATTTCTGAACCCTGGCTACGGGAGTATCAGGTGATTTTTAACACTACCCATATATTTTGATTTAATAACAAAATACCCATAAAAGACGCATGATTCTAGAAATGGACTTTGGGCCTTGATGGTCAAAGTGGTAGGTGTTATAATATGATGTTTAGGGTTCCATTCTTACCCCAGGTTGGGGACTCCTTTACTATTGATTTACCAAAAAAAAAACATGGTACTAAGTTGGAATTATATCAAATGGGTAAAAAATTGAATAGTTCATCTCTTATGGGTATTTTGATAAATTTTCCTACGTATTATAATTTTGTGTCTGCATTTATATTGCCCTTCAAATTAGGATTTAGGCTGTTCTAAAGGGCATTGCATAATCCTTCCCATCGAAGCATCCGTTTTTCATTATAACTATCTGGGCAAAATAATTGAATTTTGATTGATGGATTGAGTATTCTAGTCTTGCAAATGCTCACACTATTGTGCAGGTCCTTCCATCAAGAACACATCCACAAATGCAGATGAACTCGTTTGGTGGTTACATTCTAAGTGGAACTCGTGTATTCAACAGTGAATCAGAACAAGGGAGCACGTGATGAGTCCCTTTATTTATCACCATTCACCTATTATTTACCTATAATTTTTTAATAAAAATGTATTATTCAGTAAATTATTGCCCCCAATGCGGTTTAGCCATCTGAGTCATCTCAACCATCAATTGGCTGTGCAAGAATGTGAAGATTACGAGAAGGTCCACATGGGATTTCTCAACCCCAAAGTAATTGCCTTTGTTCATTTTTGTGTTCCGGTAGGTCCTAATGGGCCCAAAGTTTTGATAGTTTGTATTGTAGCAGTTCGAGCATCAGTTGCAATTGTTGAGCTTTTGTAAATGAAATTGGTTTTGGCAATGGATAGGACATTTTTGGATGCACTTGGATGGGGAAAATAGGAATCCGCATCTCATCTCATGCAACAGACCAAAATGTATAACTATATTATATTTCTATTTTTCTATTTTCGTATTTCAATTTTCTCAAAAAAAAAATTAAAAAATTCAAATCAGATATATTCAAAATGCAACCCTTGTGTCATGTGTGTAACCTCTTTTTTTCCATTCAATTTTATGTTTCAAACAAAAGAAATAAGTGCTTCTAAAATAAGATTCTAAGATAGAGAGAGCACATTTCGAAAAACGAAAAGTTTATATAGAGAGCTGAGGCTCTAAACAATCAAATTAGAGCTTGCTTCAAATATTTCACTAGAAGAGGTTGTTTTGATATCCGAATATCCTCAAATTGATCATTTCGACATCAAGATGCATGGACATGAGAAAAACATGGATTCAGGTTTTGGAAATAGTGTATTTTGTAATGCATTTTTGAATCGTCAATTTTCATGTTTTCCAAGTTTTCATGGTTCTGTCGATCTTCACCATTTTTGAAGCTTTAAGCTTTATAAATAAAGATGAAAATATATTTTAAAGCTATCATAAAGATTTTTAGTATTGAAACTACATTTCTCGACATTATTTGAAGGTACGCTCTAATTTGATTGTTTAGAGCTTAGGCTCTATACAAACCACACCCTTTCGAAAAAGGGTTGTATGCAATGAGGCCATTTAGTAAAAGAATGGTCGCAACAATTTATAACTATCCAATGTGAAATTCAATAGCTTGGATGTGTTACAAAGTTCGAAAATAGTTCTTTTGAACTTTGAGCTTGGTCATAAATGCATCCGCCCAATTTCCCATCTCAATAGTCAAGACTAATTGCGACTATCCTGTACAAAAAATAAACGCGTACTTTTTCTTTAGAAATTTGAGTCTCTCTCTCCCCTTTTGTTTCCTGTACGCATGCATGTGCATGCATATATGGAAGGGCATAGGTGCCATATGTAAATATGTGTGAATATATGGATGCATTATACATGTTTTGGCAAATGGAAATATAGTGTTTTGCGTGCTCGCCTTAGAAAAGAGATGTTGGATGCGTGCAAATAATTTGGATAGTTAGAGAGGCATGGGTCGTCTAGAGAAATGATTTGAGGTGCTTCACCTGAAGGATTTCATACTAGCTGATATTCATCTCAACCGGGGTGATCTTCCCTCGAGAATGGAGGGTGGAGATCACATGTAATATTCACACGTATCGTACACACGAGTTATTATAGGATAAATCGCAATAATGGTAAACTTAGAACTTCTTAGAATGTAGATTGGAATATCTTTAGGCACGGGATCAATGTTGCAGTGAGCGTGTTCTTCCTTAAGAACGAGATGATCTCATCATTCAACTCATCACATCGATGGTATCGTTTTGTTTTGTGCAGCAAATAATGCACTCCCTGCTAACATTGATCTTGATATTCCATTTTGGAAGACGTCATTAAAGTTTATTTTTGTGAACCGTTTGTGTGGAATTTTGCCTTTTGGTATTTTGACCATGATATCATTTGAATGTAATATTCAAATGTTTTCTTCCATACCATCTCCGATACAGAGTAGGAAAAAAAGCAAATGAGGGATCAGCTCTTGCCTGCATGTTTTGGTCTAGTTTCAGGTTAATGACTTAAGGTCATAAACAAAAACCTGCATCTTTTGATCTGGTTTCAGGTTAATGACTTAAAGGTCATAAATAAAAACTTGTTAATGAATTTCCTTCAATTTCTGCTATAGTTCCATAGGATACTACATGTAGAATTGTCGAAAGTCACTCCCAATGACCATTATTTTTCCCCAAATGGTAGTGACGATGGCATGATATCTTGGAATGTTCTATCTACTACTTTAAAAGCATATTTTATCAGTGCTTCATCTTATATTATAATTCGAGAATCCTTTATTTAATCCATGATTTGGTGGATGTGGTGGGAGAAATTAACATTTCAATCAATGCCACTCTAATCAAATGAACTTCTCTTTGAAGCTGATACTCATCTTGCTTATTGGAAGCTTCTTCGCACAACTTTTATTTGCGCTCTATCATGCTCTTTGTACATGAACTTGTATTCTACTTCACAACTTTTATATTGGAGTTGACGTCAGCATTTATATGATAGTTATAATGGAGGACTAATTTCGAATTATATAGAACAAGCCATGTATTTATTAATGGTATTGACAATGTGTGCCATATAATTTTTTGGAGTTCTTTCTTTTATAAATTGGGTAGTTGTCATCTGTTAAAATTGTCGTTCATGAGAAACTATATGCGTAGTGGAACCTGGCATTGTGTTTTTTGTTTTTATCCTAGGCCTATATGGGCCATATCTCATATGCTTTATTATTTGATATAGTGTGCGATCTTTGTTTTTATCGGGTAGCTCGGTAGAAACACTTGCATATATGATTAACATCATATATACGCTATTTTTTAAGCTTCAAAATTTATTAATAAATATAAAAATATTTTTGAAGGCTATCATAAACATTTTCAGTATTGAAACCACATTTCTCGACACTATTTGAAGGTAGGCTCTAAATTGATTGTTTGGAACCTAGACTCTATACAAACCACACACTATGATGAATGGTCTATAATATTAACTATGTTCATTTAAAGGTACGGTTTGTATAGAGCCTAGGCTCTAAACAATCAAATTAGAGCCTACCTTCAAATAGT